TTCAATACACATGGAGGGAGAGATTTTCGTGTACTTAAACTACGAGTTGGGACTATCATAATACAAATAAAAAAAAAACACTGAAAAAATATATTTTCATTCTACTTATATTATAACACGTAAAAAGTGTATAACAACCACTTCTCCAGCTATTAAAAACAATTAAAAAAAAAGAACAAAAAAAAACACCAAAGCAGCAGGCGCGTGGATGTAGCGACCGTAGAAAGCACCGACCGGCATGCTAATTGCCAAAGCTCTTTGTAATGTAACAGTTGGTGCTGATTAGCCAGGTAAAAGGAAGACATTCGCAAATATTAATTATCCGGATAATACTTTAAATTAAATTTACAAACTAAATGATAATCATTAATAAAAAATAAATATGTTAATTAACGTTTAAATAATATTCAATTATTAATAATCATATCATTTAATTTAAAAAATTTGATCCCTTAGCATTTTGGAGTTTTAGAATAAGCGATTAAATGTGTTTATCTTTTTATTTGCTCTGAGGCGTTTTGTTGCCAAAATAAAAAATAAAAAATATATATATATATAATATAAAATAACTAAAAAATCGAACAATAATCTTTTTTATTTGCTCTGAGGCGTTTAGTCTTCACAACTCTAGGCTTGCTAGAAATTTTAGTATACACAAAATATGATAGTAACAAAATACTAAAAATTTCCTCAAAACTTCTTGTTTTGTGCTAGTAAGTAAGCATTAGAATTCGGGTAAAAATGTATATGTATCAAGGCGAGTATTATGTCCGATTTGTGATGTCGTTCTCTTCCAAACGGCAGGTCATTGGGCTCAAATCGGGCACTGAAAGCCCAAATATGTAATGCTTGGTAGCATATGATCCCTATCACTTGGAGGCTTGGAGCCTACTGTTCTAACAAATCCAACTCTTTTTTTTTACTTTATTATGCTTATGCCTCTCAAATCTCACCCTTATATTGTTAAAATGTGTGAGAAAAATTAAATCTAACATAAAATCAACGTTGATAGCATGCTAAGAAAGGGCACTTCTATTTTTAAGGGGATAAGTTTTCTCAATTTACAAGCTTGAATTATAAGGGTTAAGCAAATGTATCAATGATAAAAAAATAAAACTAAATCACAGATGGTCATATGCTAGCTAGAGTAATGTTTTCAATTGATTATTGTTGATATGAAAAATAAAATAAAATAATTTCTTTTTAAAGAATAAAGGAAAAAGAAAAGGGGGAATCATTAACAAATGAAAAAAAAAAAGGAAGTAGGAGAGGAACAAAGGTATGGGAAAAAAAGGGAAATTTCAAGTCTTCAAGTTAAAGAAAACTTGGTATACCAAAAAAATTGAATTTTATTCAGATTAAGACATGCAATGTGGCTTCAACAAAGTTTGCAAATGACAAAAAATGATCGCCCATAAATTTTAAATTAACGCCATGTTACACAATCAATTTGGTCTTGAAACTAACAAAGCCATAATGGCCTTGCAATGAATACAACATTCACACTGACTATACATATATAAACATACATAAAAAAATTAAAGAAAAACCCTTTAAAAACATGGCATGGGAGGAGAAAAACCCTTTAAAAACATGGCATGGGAGGAGTTTAATTGCCTAATCCAAAAAGTGGTAAAAAGAAAAGTTCCTACTGAAATGGGCAAGGATTGCATGTTACTTGTCTCTCTTTACCCATTCATGATCACACTTTATAAGTTTTTTGGCACACTAAAAAAAATTAATGAGTGTTGCAGTCCTAGGTTAATTAAGAATGTGATTATGTAAATCCCAAAATGATTCTATAATATCTTTTAGATAGTTTTCTAGTTGTAATATATTACTTAAAACGTAAAGATTCTTTCTTCCTTATTACTATAAATAAAAGTACGATGGGATATAAAATCACCAAACTCTCTCTTCTCCCTCTCTTTACCGATGGCCCCCTCTCTTCTACAACACGTTATCAACATGCTCTTGTTGATGCGTTAAGAAACTAAAGGTTTTTGGAGGAGTTTTTTCTACAACTAGCATTCAAAGGCTTTTGTCGTTTCACCCTTCTAAAACACAAAGTTGATATTTCATAAGTCTTGTTGTTCAATACACACACACGTAATAATCTGTCTTGTTATTATTCAATATTGCTATGTGGAATTGTGTGAGCAATAAACAACAAGGAAATATGAACAAATTTTTTTTTCAAAACCCTAATCAGGAGCCACGATAGCCTAGAGCCGTCGCTTGCAACAGTGTTGGCCGCGAGCCTAGCCTGCAGTTCTAAAACGATATCGTTTTGGCTCAAGGCTTCCCTACTCGTGGTGTGGAAAAGTCAAAGGTATTATGTCACAGTCCATCCTGAAATTTCAGTTATCGTGGATGTGATTTGACGGAATTACCCTTAAAGGTTACTAAGGTATGTGTGACTTGTTTAATTTGAATAATTCATACATTCCTAAGTTTTGGAAAAATTGAGTTGGATTAAAAATTGGTTTGCATTTTGTGTGGTTAGGGGAAGGACACACACACACTAAACAAACCTCACTCTCTCTCTCATATCCCGTGCCTTCTCTCTCTTCCCTCTCAGTTCACTCTTCCTCTCTCTCCCTCTCGAACCCGTACGAACAAGAACCAAAAACCCTCAAATCTTCACGGATCGACGTCAAAGAGGTGAGTTCCTTCATCCTTGCAAGCTTGTGAGTTTATTGGTACCATTTTTGGAACTTAGAACCTTCGAAAACTCCTGAAATCTGAACCCCCAGTTTTGAGTACTGTTCATGCACACATGAAATGTTGATTTTCAGGGAATTCTAAGCTTACAGGGAGCTTAGTGAGGTCCCAAGGAAGCTTGGAGTACTTAGTTTGAAGGTTTTGGACGTTGGGATCGTAGGGTTCGAAGTTGGCCGGTTTTCTTGGATTTTCTCCGGTGAGATTTCATGTGTTTTTTAGCCTTAAATTAGTATAACGTGATTCTACATGCTTAGGGCTTCATTTTGATGTAAAATGCGTAAAAAATGGTTGAGAATTGACGGAGAAAATGAAGTTTGAAAAATCTCTAGTTTTTCGGCGCCGGCGAAACCAGTCTGGCGACTGGAGGAAGGAGATGACGCGCATGGGGGCGCGTGGGTCCGTGCCCTTCTCGGTGCGTGGGGACGCGTGCGACGTTGAAATTTTTTTCTAAAAATACCTCGACGTCCGTGACGTCGAGTAGGTCACTATGGTATATTCATATACCCAAATTGAGTATCGTATGAGAAGTTATTACGTATTGTCGGTTATGTGCTTTAAATAACGTTTTTATAGTTGTTTCGCATATAGGTGAGACCTATCACCAAGACGAACGCATTCAAGGGCGTCACGGGGGTTACGACCCTTTGACTTACCAGTGAGTAGACAGTTATTTTCCGTTTATACCTATATACTGCTGATTTTCCCAGAAATTGAATATAAATAAAAGTATGTTTTAAAATGCCATGCATGCATATTATATGAAACATATGAATTAGTATTTGATGCATATATGTGAAATGGTGTTGTGGACGCACATGTGAGTATCAGGTGAGTTTATGTTGTTCATATGGTTTATTGATGATGTGAATTGTGTTGAGAGCTCATAACCTGCACCTTGGTGTTAGTGCTTATATTATTCACCCCGCACCACACGCTCACCTTGGATCCAAGTAGGTGCACGTCGTACAAATCACTAGAGGTGATTCCGACATGTCGTACATACCATTAGAGGTGGTTCCGACTTGTAGGTGACTTTAGATTATTATACAGTTGTTGATGAGAGAAGCACTAGAGCGTATTCTTACACCATTCTTATCGTACTGACTACTTCAGGTAGTTCCGATTTATGTGCAGAGTAGTGCTGTACAGGTCACAGTGGTGACTCCGGTTGGGTTGGATATTGGGCTATAGAATTAACCATACAGGACAGCTGCAGGGTCTCCGGTTGATTCATTATTTCACCTGTTATATTGATGCATCTTATCATGTTTTGAATCATAGCATGGCATATTCTTGAAAAGTGTTAAAGACTTGTGATTTGAGTTTTGCTGTGATATATGATTATGTATATACTATTTTTTTGGGAAAGTATACAGGTTTTACAGTGAGGGGTTATAAGTGTTGTTTTATGAAATATTTTCGAAAAGCTTTGTTTTACTGACCCACTCAATCTTGTTTTGCGCCCCTCCAGGTTCTAGTTAGCAGTGTTGGAGGCTCACGAGGATTCCCACGACGTTCTGACAAACTACATAAATGTAGGACTCACCTTCGGGTGTTGTAATTTAGTTATGGTCCTACTTGACTGCACTTAGTATTTATGCTCTAAATATGTGTGTTTCACACTTAAACTCACTCTAGCATGTTAGTTGGATATTATTGCTAGTAGTTGGTTTTTATTCCTTCATATTTCTCTTATCTTTTTGCTTCTGCATCGCACTTTTGGTTACATCACGCTCACGTGACGGCCAACACGCCTTGATTCTAGGATCGGAGTGTGTCTATTAATTGATTCAATTGAAAATAAATTCTAATCTATTAAAGATTGGGATGCTTCCATCATTATCCCAATATACTATCTCCATAGAATCACCATAAAATCAATTGAAGATAAATTCTTACTACTATAAATAAAACGCGATAAGATAAAAAATCATCACCATAGAATCACTAAATTTTCTCTTCTCCCTCCCCTGCCAACGCCCCCCTCCCTATTTTTCCTTAGTAAAATAGGCCTACAACAATGAGATTATTATCATTAATTCTTTTATTATTTTAAACTTCACAACTGTTTTTTCATATTTTCTTATGTGTTTTCAAAAAAATGAGAATTGTTATTAACACTTCAAAAATCTCATTTAGCACTCCAAACTTTCCATAATTAGAAAAAAAATATACTTGTAAGGAGTATATAATGAAATATTTGAAGTGCTAATAATAATTAAAAAAAAATGGTATAATTTCTGGTTGTGTGTCTTTTGGTGAAGGTATGCTTGTCACCTACTCCTCTTAAGTTCTCAATCTCTCTCTAATGCCTACTAGTATTCTCCAAAAAGTAGAGAGAGGGCCTTAAAGCTCCGTTCTTAGCTCTGCTCTGCTGTGTACTGTGCCAATGGAGAGGCACAGATGCAAGCTCTGCTCTAGGGCTTTTGCTAATGGCAGAGCACTGGGTGGTCATATGAAGGCTCACTTGGCAACTTTTCCTCTTCCCCCTAAAACCCACCAAATCACTGAGTCCGACTCGTCTTCATCTTCCTCCTCCGGCGAAGAACCAGAAAAAGAAGAACAACATTTGCAAGAAGAAGAAGAAGAGGAAAAGGGTTTGACTTATGGGTTGAGAGAGAACCCAAAGAGGAGTTTCCGGCTTGCAGATCCTGAGTTTTCTTTTGTTGATGCTGGGTCGGTGATTCAAGACAGAGAGAGTGAGACCGAGTCAAGAAATCCAACTCGGAGACGATCCAAGCGGAATCGAAGATCATTCGTTGTTGTTACAGATAATCTGCAGAGCCAGAAGTTGGAGTTGAAGAAAAAACCCAAGACAATTTCAACACCGCCGCGTTTGGCCGAGTCTCCTCCTCTAGCGGCAGAGCTTGAGCCGGTGAGCTCGGTCTCCGATACTTCTCCGGAAGAAGATGTTGCTATGTGCCTTATGATGCTGTCAAGAGATGTGTGGATGATAAGATTACATGATCATCAGCAAGCAGATCAATCGGTTCAAGTTCAAGAACAAAGTAGGCAAGTAGTGGAGGAGCTCGAGGGGGTCAAATTGAAGAAACTTCGAGGGAAGAATCGGTGTGAGAAATGCAACAAACTGTTTCGATCTTTTCAAGCAATGTGCGGCCACAAAAAGATTTGCTTTCGCAACGAGGAGGAAGCAATCAACAATGCAGGTGGTGAGAAGCTGTTTGAGTGCCCCTTTTGCTACAAAATATTTGGTTCCGGTCAAGCTCTTGGCGGTCACAAAAGATCTCACCTTTCGGGTTCTTCAAGATCAATGGTTGTATCAATGGCTGCAAAAACTGAAGTTAAAGAGGGTTTCCTAGATCTCAACCTGCCTGCTCCGGAAGAAGATGATGAATTTAGCGTGCTATCGGATGCGTAAAAATGTAAAAAGTAACAGACTTCTCCATCAAAACTCGGATCTAAAGGTACAAGAAATTCGATTATTTGAGCAACATTGAGATCAAATGGGTGAAGATTGAAACACTTTTTCGATATTCTTCACTCATATATCAATCAATTCGCTCTTTTTTTTACATATTGGGACCGTTATTCATTTTTTGTTTATGCAGTTTCAAGTTTCAACAACTGTTTGGTCGAGTTCCAACTGCAGTAACAACTTGCTATATGTATTGCTGTTGACTAGAATACAGAAAGTTGAATTGTTCATTTTTTTTTTTTTTTTTTTTATAGCAAAATTCAAGTAATGTTGGGTTTTACTTGCAATGTCAAGTGGTGTTTGTTTACTTGTCTTTAAACTCATTTAGTAATTAGGTACACATTGCATTTAAGAAGAACGTAGTATAATGCGATACTTGTTGAGAAATTACAGAATCTCGTGAACCGTCGAAACTATTATTCTAGTTGTTGTTGGGTTGTCAATGTGCTCTTCTGCTTCAACTTGAGGAGAAATTTTTTATTGTAACGGGAACATGATTAGTACACCATGTGTTTTTATACAAGTGATGGAAAATTTTATTTTTTAAGTTATTAACTTTTTAACATACATATTTCACCATTTGATAGTGACACGTAGTGTACTACCTTGTGTGTCGATCACATTGAAAAATCTTTCCAACTTGAGGTCCAATTTTCCACTAATTCTTGCAAATTGTCCTATCTCATAAAAAATGGACTAGGATCCTATCTTCTTTGTAAGGATCTTAGGGGATTAATTCATTTTAATTGTTCATCGTATATCGTACGGTCATCTTTTATCGTACAATAACTGATGAACTGATCTTATAATTCTCTCATAAACCTATTCCTTTAAAAATCAGATAAAATAAAATATAAAAAGTTTTCTATGATTGTTTTGTTTATCCCATTTGCGCTCTCTCTCTCTCTCTCTCTCTCTCTCTCTCTCTCTCTCTCTCTCTCTCTCTCTCAACTGGTTGTTTTAGGTTGAAGCATAGGATTTTCATGATTTGGGAGGTCTGAACCAACAAACTGCAAACTGTTTTCCAGATGACATTTCTGATGTGGATATGTTTGATTGTGACTGGAGGAGAAGATCCCAAAATCCCTTCAATTTCTCAACTTAAAAATACCTGCCTTGAAATGAACGAAGTATCCGAGCAAAAGGAGGTGCCAGCCGCCTGATGCCGTGCTACTGTTCTTATCGAAGAATCAGTCAGACCGCTAGGACTTTTTAAATCCTCGTATCTTGGATGATTTTATACGTTTTTCTACATTCATATTAATTACCAACTTATATTATATTACTATATATAGTTTTCTTCATCCTTTAGTATTTGTATGTAGGGGTGTAGGGTTGGGCATTTAGAATCGAAAACCAAAATTGAAACACAAATCAAATTGAACAGTTTGGTTTGCGATTGTGAAACAATTTCGATTTTGAAACCAAACTGCTATAAGAAACGATTTTGTTTACCAAAACCGATCTTCACTGCAAATATTAATAAACATCTAATTAAATGTTCCTTCATTTTTTTTGTCAAAAATAGAATATATTAAATTCTGAGAGAAAGATTAATATCTTGGGCCAAGATATTAAACAAGAATTCAGGACCAATACAATCTCAAACATAAGCCCTTCCCTCCTTAAATACAAACTTGGCCACTAAGTGAGCAGCGTGGTTGCTCTCTCTAGGCACGAAGTCAAATGACACCGACTGCAACCTACGTGCTAGAGACTCAATATCACCAAGGATACATTCAAGCTTCCTTCCTAATCATTTGGACAATTGCTTTTGCATCAGACTCGATAACCACATTGTCAAAATCCTGCAACAAGAAAAACTCGAGTGCCTCCCTAATTGCTATCGCTTCCGCTGCAACTGCAAAGTGGAAGCGCAGTACTCTCGAGCCACCCATCCCAGCCCCGAACGCAGCGTGTCCTTACACCAAGCCGCATTTGTGTTGATCTTTATCTCCCCCAAACACGGTTTATGCCATTGTTCCTTTCTTCTTCCCACTGCGAAGGCTATCGTGCACTCACCTGGCTGTGTCTCCTCCCTCCCCTGCTCATTCGCATCTCTATATTCAGCGATATTCCTTTTCCAAGCCTCCAGAATCTCAATGGGCTGTTGGTGCCTCCCATTGAAAATCACATATTTTCTGTTTTTCCATAACCTTCATAGGCCAAAGGCGAATTCTTGCAAAATCTCCGCTGCATTTTCTAATTCGATAACTCTGTTGCAGAATCTTTCCCAAATTTGTAAGAAGTCAGATCCTTCCAACTCAAATGAATTGAGTTAAAGTGGCGAGCAGGATCAGAAAATATGGCTGAGCTCACAACATAAAAAAAAAAGAAAAAAAAAGATGATTCTCTGTTTCATCCACGTGCCTACACACACCACATACATTATATACTCTCATGTGCCATTGCTTAAGATTTCTTCTCACTGCTAGCGCATGGTTACAACACTTCTAGATAAAAAAATTTCATCTTGTTGGGTACATCCAGACTCCAAATCCTTCTCCACAGCTGGTTATGCTTTGTCTTCTCACTCGATGATCCCTTCCATTTCCTCCCTAGAGCCCTGTTCTCCATGAGCTCCATAGTGACCCCATACTTGATTTTACCGAGTATATCCCATTTGCGATGTGGAACCAAGCCAATGAAGGATGATTTTGTGAAAACATGTTCATTTGAATAACATCTATAGCATGCAATTAACAATTAAAAGGCGGAATCATGCTTGCATGCATTCAAAAACAAAACATTACCCATGAAATTCAAAGCCTAGTAGATTGGTGAACCAAGACTCAACTCAAAATCAAAGTGAGTTGAAATTTACCTTTGTAGATTCCTCTTTGCATAAGCAAAGGCTAATCACCCAAAGAGAGGGCCTTCATTCCTTGCATCTAAAATCTATGGATTTGGATGGATGAAAAGGTTTCTCCAAGTTCCCAAAATTGAGAACCTCTAAGTCTCCACACCAAGGAGAGATTGGAGAAGAAATGAGTGACCTTGGAGTAGTGGGATTGCTAGATGCACCCTCCAAGGGGGCCGGCCTCCTAGAGAGAAAAGGAGAGACAAGTTCTCACCAATTTTCTCCAAAAGAAACCCTTTATGAATTTAGGCTATAAAGTCCTTTATATAGTCATTTCAAATAATTGACCTAAAGAACCAAAAGGCCATTCTCTCTAACATGGCCGGCCATATAGGGAATTTGGGCTTTTGGGCCTTTGTGAATCTTTATTCATTAAATTGTCATACAACTTAAGTCAATGGGCTTGACGTTCGAAGCCCATTGGGCTTTAAGGTCCAAAACTATCCCGAGGTCTTTAACGAACTTATTCGTTTGATTAATTAACATATTAATTAATCCTTGCCATAAATAATTAAACCATTTAATTATTCTTACTCATCTCCATTGTTTCTTCAATATTCACCTTACACGGTGTACGATCCATTAGGTTCCTTTTAGCGAGGCAGTGGGCGATTAAAACCATTTCACATCGATTGTGAATTGAAACTTACTTTCAATTCTCCCTTTAGTGATTATACACGTTTAGGGCTTCCACAAACCATGAGTGACACCTAGCAGCATATCATGGTTACCCAAGCTAATCAGAAGAGGTGGAGAACCTATTCAGTTTAGGATTACAAATGCAATACGATCTTTCTCTAATACAATACTCTTGACCACATTGTTTGGTTTGATAGTTTATTTATTCATGTCTACTATCCAATGTGATTCGTGTGCTTATATGATTACCTTGAATGTGATTTGGAACGACTTCCTAAATCTCATTCATACTCTGGCCAGAGATTCCAAATCATATCATAGAGTATTCTCCCTCAAACGGTTTGAAGGTTAGAGATCCCTTGTTGCACATTCACTTGTCTCCATGGCTAAGTGGCTTAACCCCAACGATGCCGTGGACACCCTCCAAATGGAGTGACTTTGACATAATCAGAGATCAAGGACTTAACCACAAGACAACTGTGATGCCTCAGGTCAAATGACCACTTTGCATTATCCCAACCATGAGTTCTCATGTGACATGAATATGAGAACTCTTTGTTGATCGTGTTCAGTGAACTCATTCTCTATTGAGCACCTACGTACTTGTCTTGATGTCACACACACCAATGACTCGAGACTAGTCACTCTCCCTGAGAGAAGATGAAGGAATTATTTTGTGAAAACATGTTCATTTGAGCAACATCATATAGCATGCAATTAACAATTAAAGGCGGAATCATGCTTACATGCACTCAAATACAAAACATTTACCCATGAAATTCAAAGCCTAGTAGATTGGTGAACCAATAATCAACTCAAAACATAAGTGAGTTGAAATTAATACCTTTGTAGATTCCTCTTTGCATAAGCAAAGGCTAATCACCCAAAGAGATAAGGGCCTTCATTCCTTGCTTCTTAGATCCATGGATTTGGATGGAAGAATAGGTTCTCCAAGTTCCCAAAATTGAGAACCTCTAATTTTCGACACCAAGGTTCGATTGTAGAAGAAATGAGTGACCTTGGAGTAGTAGGATTGCTAGATGTACCCTCCAAGGTGTTGGCCTCTTTAGAGAGAAAATGGAGAGACAATTCTCACCTATTTTCCCCAAAAATAAACCCATTTTTCACTTAATGAATATTTGGCTATAAAATCATTTATATAGTCACTTCTTTAAGTGACCTAAACAACCAAAACCCTAATTCATTTCATCATGGCTGGCCATTTAGGGGATTTTGGGCTTTTGGGCTTTAATGAATCTTCATTCATTAAATTGTCATACAACTTAAGTTAATGGGCTTGACGTTCGAAGCCCATTGGGCCTTAAGGTCCAAAACTATCCCGAAGTCTTTAACGAACTTATTCGTTTGATTAATTAACATATTAATTAATCCTTGCCATAAATAAATGATTAAACCATTTAATCATTCTTACTCATTTCCGTTTAATCTCCAATCTCCACCTTTCACGGTGTGCGATCCATTAGGTTCCTTTTAGCGAGGCAGTGGGCGATTAAAACCATTTTACATCGATTGTGAATTGAAACTATTTTCAATTCTCCCTTTAGTGATTATACACGTCTAGGGCTTCCACAAACCATGAGTGACACCTAGCAGCATATCATGGTTACCCAAGCTAATCAGAAGAGGTTAGAGAACCTATTCAGTTCGAGATTACAAATGCAATACGGTCCTTTCTCTAATCTAATACTCTTGACCACATTGTTTGGTTTGATAGTTTATTTTCTC